CACACAGGAAAAAAATTGGTGAAAGTTTTTAGATCACGATTTGTGCATGATTGTCATTACAGCATGATTTATTCAAGTTTAGGAGGCTTTTAAAAAGTTTTTATATTGAAGCAGATGCTATAGCTGGATTGGTAGATTGTATCTTCTTGTTAGATTTTAAAAGTTTATTGCCAAAAATTGTAGCTTTTCCTCTATGTCCCAAGAGCTGCTGTATTTGCCTATTTATTTATGTGAATGGAAGATCACAGAACGGTTTGGGTTGGCAAGGACTTTAAAGATTATCTCATACCATATCCCCTGCCATGGGGAGGACAGGTTCTCAGAGCTCCATCCAGTGTGACCTTGAACACTTCCAGGGACATGGCATCCACCACTTCTCCAGGCAACCTGCGTCAGTGTCTTACCAACTACACCGCAAAGAACTAACTTCCTCTGAATATCTAATCTAAACCTACTCTCTGTCAGGTTTAATTCACTCCCCTTGTCCTGTGACTACATTTCTTTTAAAATGTTCCTCTATATCCTTTTTTTGTAGTTTCCTCTCAAGTCCTATGTGGCTGCAATTAGGTCACCTTAGATTTTTCACTTTTCAGGCTTCATTCTCTTAGCCTATCCTCATACAAGAGGTCTAAATATCTTGGTAGCCCTCCTCTGGGCTTGCTCCAACATGATGTCTTTTTTGTGCTGAGGATCTCAGAGCTGAATGCAATACCCTAGAAGGAGTCTCAGCTGTGGAGCTTCAGTGTGCTGACCCTGGCAGGATTCCAGGCACCCAACAAAACCACTCTGTCCTTCCCCTCCACAACTGGACAGAGGAGAGAAAAGATAACGAAGGATTCACGAGTTGAGACAAGGACTTGGAGAGATCACTCACCAAATACCATCATGGGCAAAAAATGCTCTAATTAGAAATATTTATTGAATTTATTACTCACTAAATCAGAGCAAGATAATGAGAAGTAAAACAAGAACTTAAAAACCCCTTCCTTGCATCCCCCCCATTCCCACCTCTGCCTTCTACCCCAGCAGTGCAGGGAGACAGGAATGGAGGTTCATCACAGCCACTGTTCACAGAGAGGATTCCTTCCCTTGCCCTAACACGAGTCCACCCCACAAGCAAGAGTCCTCCACAAACTGCTGCAACTTGTATCATTCTTCCACAGGGCTCAGTCCTTCAGGCACAGTCTGCTCCAGTGTGGGTCCTCCACACAATCACAAGTCCTGCCAGAAAACCTGCCAGGAGCTTGTTCCATCGCAAGCCTCCCACAAGTACACAGCCCCCCCTCAGGCATCCACCTGCTCCAGCGTGGGTCTCCTCCATGGGCTGCAGGGGAATCTTGGCTTTGGTGCCTGGAGCACCTCTTTACCCCTCCTTCTCCACTGACCTTGGTGTCAGAATTGTTCCTCTCACATGTTCTCACCCTGCTGTTCTCTGACCACAACTACATCTGTTCAGCAACTCTTTCCTTCTGAAATCTGTTATCACAGAGGTGTTACCAGCATCTCCAATCAGCCCAGCTTTGTCAGCAGCACGTGTGTCTTAGAGCCATCTGGCATTGGCTCTGCTGGACACGGAGGAAGCTTCTGGCAGCTTCTCACAGAAGCCACCCCTGCAGCTCCACTATTACCAAAGCATGGCCATGTAGAATCACCTCCCTCAATCTGCTGGCCAGTCTACTTTTGATGAAGCCCAGGACAAATAAAAGACAAAACCAAAGAAAGCTCCTCTTGCCAAGGCATGGCAATTGTTCTACTCCTTCTTGCACAAGTACCAGTTCTGAAGTAATTTACCAGAATTATACATTCAGACATGTGTCCCGAGAGCTTGATGGATGATGGTGGACAAGTTTGGTTAGGACCTTGTTTCAGATGTGAATTTCGATGAGCAGTTAAGACCCCAGGGAAAGAAGAAAAGTTAGTGGGAAGTCACACTGAAATGAAGTACCCAAATTGCTGAAGCTTTGTGTGTTTTCCTTTTTTTATATTTTTTGAGGAAATTAGAAGGGTGATGGTACCCTCATATGAAGAGCAGAAATAGGCAATCTCACGAGATTACTAAATCAGAGCCAATGCTCCTACTGCAAACCATAAGAAAAATGCTTCACGAAGTCTGCACGCTCTTTAACTACTTCCAAATACTTCCTCCTTTGCAAGGATCAGTGTATTTGTAATTTAATATTACCTAGCCTAACAACAATTATTTCTCCAAATCTAATGATGGCATTGGTCCATGGTTGTATGTAGGCTAGTGCAGTGAAGCTTATTTTCACTGCTGGTTGCATGATGTTGTTAGAATCTAACATTTCACATTTGTTGTGCTTCTACATGTGTTTTAATACTTGTTTTTAATGCTAAAGGGAAGTTTTACTTTCATTAGAATAACAACTTTAAAACAAATATTTGCATATTTAGGATAGGTGGTGGAGTAGGTTGAGGGTATCTATTATGTAATACAGTAATACAGTCTTTTGTGGTTCATTACAACACACTCTGCAAATTATGAGTCATCTATTTCCTACCAAATGAAATTTTGTTCAAGCACAATTGTACAGGGAATAGGCATAGAAGAGATGCGAGTTTTAAAAAGAGCTGTTTGTTTCACAGAGAATTTGACGTACTTCGCTAAACATTCTAAAACTGGCAGCAGTCATATATGACAGAAAAGCAGAATATTCTGTATTTCCCTAACTGTTTTTCTAGTCTCTTGTGGAACATGCTTTCTCAGAGTCTGTGTGTAGGTGACAGCTAGGGATGGGATTGATATTAATTCTGAAACTTAATCAATTTTGGTTGTCTCATCTTGGTAAGGAGAGATAATGAAATAAAGTTACTCTGTTTTACTTGTGCAGCTTAGATCACATATGTGGCAATAAGTATGTAACACTTGAATGAATTGATAAAAAAAACTACCTAGAAAATAACTAAGAAGCAAGTACTTCTTTTTCCTATCTTTCCTTGTCTTTTCCCTTGGTTGGAAGGAGACTGGCATGCATGACAGAAAGTAATATTAAAATTTAAATACAACATCAATTAATTTAAGTGGTTCAACAGCTCTTTTATTTCCTTTTCTCAAGGAACTTCTGTCTGTAGATAACTAACTCATGGGGACTAATCCAACTGGGTTCCAGACTCACTAACCAGGACACTAGCACAGCCTGCATAAAATCTTCACCATTTTTTTATTTAACCTACCTCTTTCTCTAAGGATTTGGACAGATACAGACATACATTTTTTAAATTTTTTTTCTTCTTTTGGGAGAGAGGGGAAAGAGTGGGTTTTAGTGAGTTTTCTGTTACGTATCTGTATTGGTGTGGCACAGCCCGTTTTGGGGAGGCACAGAGGTCACAGAGATGACTCCTGTGAGGAGCTGCTGGAAGCTTCCACCATGTCCGGCAGATCCAGTCCCTGGTGGCTCTGGGGATGGACATGCTGCTGGCCAAGGCTGGGCCAGTGACAGAGGCTGGTAATGCCTCTGTGATGACATATTTAAGAACAAAATCAAAACAGTCACAAGTCTTTGCTTCTAGTCAGAGAAGAGGAGGAGGTGAGAACATGTGAGGAAAACAACATGGAGACACCAAGGTCCGTGGAGAAGAAGGGGAGGAGGTGATCCAAGTGCCGGAGACGAGATTCCTCTGCAGGCAGTGGTGAGACCATGGTGAAGCAGCTGTGTCCTGCAGCCCATGGGGATCCATGGGGATCCATGGGGATGCAGAGATCCAGCCGCAGCCCGTGGGGATCTTGGGGATCTGTGGGGATCCATGGGGATCCATGGGGATGCAGAGATCCAGCCGCAGCCCGTGGGGATCTGTGGGGATCCATGGGGATCCATGGGGATCCATGGGGATGCAGAGATGCAGCCACAGCCCGTGGGGATCCATGGGGATCCATGGGGATGCAGAGATCCAGCAGCAGCCCGTGGGGATCCATGGGGATGCAGAGATGCAGCCACAGCCCATGGGGATCCATGGGGATCCATGGGGATGCATAGATACAGCAGCAGCCCGTGGGGATCCACGGGGATTCATGGGAATGCAGAGATCCAGCCGCAGCCCGTGGGGATCCATGGGATGCAGAGATGCAGCCACAGCCCGTGGGGATCCATGGGGATCCATGGGGATGCAAAGATCCAGCCACAGCCCATGGGGATCCATGGGGATCCATGGGGATGCAGAGATGCAGCCGCAGCCCGTGGGGATCTGTGGGGATCCATGGGGATCCATGGGGATGCAGAGATCCAGCCGCAGCCCGTGGGGAGGTGCCCACGCCGGAGCGGTGGATGCCTGGAGGAGGCCGTGGTCCAGTGGGAGGCCCGGGGAAAGGGAGGGCGCTGCTCGCAGGCCGGGGCAGGCTGTCCCTGCAGGCCGCAGCCCTGGGAGGAAAGGCCCACACGCAGCAGCTGTGGCAGCGCTGGCTGCCCCTGGGGCAGCTCCCGCTGCAGCAGCTGAGGTTCGGCTGCTGCTCGGAGAGCGGCCCCACGCCAGGGCAGCTCCCGAGGGCTGTGTCCTGTGGGAGAGACCCACGGGCTCCCGGGGTAAGGACTCCTCTCCCCGAGCAGCGGAAGAAAATCTCGGTGCTGAACTGACCAAAACCCCCAGGCCCTGTCTCCCTGCGCCGTGGATGGGAAACAGGGAGAGGCTGGGGGGAGGAAGGGACGGAGGGGCTGGGCTGGAGGGAGCTTTAAGGGCTTATTTTATTTCTCATTATCCTTCTCTGATTCTGTGAGTAATAAATTTCACTTTGTAACTGAAGTTTGGTCTCTTTTGCCCTTGAAATATTTCTCACGGTCCTTATCTCACTTATGAAACGTTTGTTAACTTTTTTTTCCCTTTTCCCTCCTTTGCCCAGCTGAGGCAGGGGAGTGTGAGCGAGCAACACCCGTGGGTGCCTGGCATTGGGCCACTGTCAAACCACATAGTATCCAAAGCTTTTTTGCACAAAGTAGAAAAAAAACTTTTGATTCTGCAAATTAATTTTTATCTGACAGGAAAGCCTCAGACCACACTATACAAGGCTCTGAAGCTGCTTCGCTTTTTTCAGCTGTGCTGAAATACACATAGGAGTCTCCAAACCTGTGGTACAAATGCCCACGGACACTACAAAATTACTGCTTGCAGGTCAGAAATAGCATTTGAAACCCTAATGTTGATTTTTGTTGATTCTACACCACTGAGCTCACTGCAGATCTCTCTCAATGGAATAAAAGCATTGAAAGTTATCTGCATTGAATTTTGGTCCTTATAAAATGAGACAAAGTGACGTCAAATAGGCACTACTAGAAAAGCTGGAACAATTTTTCTCTTCCTTTTGCTTCCTTTAGGTAGCCTAAAAATCTGTTCTTTTCCTGCTGTCAAGTGGTCTTAAATGTGGGGGACTTTTTAATTATTTTATTTTTGAAGTTTAATAGCCTTAAGTCCCACATCATCACTGTTCTCATTTCATTTACATAGATGGGAAGTTTCAGTGGGAGAGAAAAGGTAAGTGCTCTGATGTGGGGCAGGAAGATCTGCCTTCCTCTGCAGCACCACCTTGGCAAAGCTGCACAACTGCCAGGCTTTCCACAAGACCTCAGCATGATCGTGATGTGTGGTGTGGACACACAGCTCAGACTCCTGAGCTCCCAGCAGGGATGTTCTGCCTGTGTGCCATTCCACTTCAGTGAGTGCTAAGAACAGCAAACACTTTGTGCTGCAAGGCACTTGGGGTCAGACATTAAGGTCTGCTGAAATAAAGGATATTTGTCAGATCAGCTTCATAATGGGAAATGGACATAATTCAAGTGTTATAAATGGCAAATCTTAACCATTTGGAAAAGAAAAGTGTGGAGAAAAGGTAGTGGTAGAAGGGAAAGAAGTTAAATGCTAGTCACTAGATCCAATTCATAGACTGAATATTCTTCATATTCCTTACTCATCTGTAGAGCTTTTCTGCCAAATCTAAGTGAAGAATTTATGTACATAAGGAGGCACTAGGTAAAAGCAGGTAATTGTTCCTTCCAAATATGGTTATAAAGTCTGTTGTTTAAATTTCTTCAATAATCTATGTCATGACTGTAAAAATATCTAATGGAGTTTGAAATCCTTATTTTCACATTCTATTTCTGATGATATCTCTCAGGAAGACACAGCTTTCCTTTGAATTTCTTTTCTAAGACTAAACTGTCTGCAATAATGCCTTTATTGCATTTACAATGTAATTTTGTCAAATATAACTACATCATACTGTGAAGTGTTCTGAAAAAATGCAACTTTTCTTCTAGATGTTATTTTAACAGAAGACTCACTAATGTTAAAGAATGGAGCCTATAGAAAATAAGAGGTTCTTTATGTTCTGTAATCTTCTGTGCATGAAAATCCCTGAACACATCTATCCTTGATAGAGTCCAGAAGAAACAAAGAATGCCATGCAGTCCTGCTAAGTTCACTGAGCTGGAATGAACAAGTACAAGATTGTAAGTACAGTCTTAGGTGATCTTTGCTGCTGTAGAAAACAGTGGTACAAAGCTGGAAATCTGAAACTTTGGACAACTCAGTTTATGTAATGCTATGGTCATTGCTATTGGAAAAGAGCAACAAGAATATTTGAAGTGACAAAGGAAAAGAAAATATTCCTTTATTTTTTTTTCCTTTTTTCCTGCTCTAAAGTACTGTAATAAGAAAATTTTGTGCATTAGCCAGCCTTTTTACAAAGCATTAAAATCAGCAGTAGATACCCCTTTCAATAGAACACAGACCAGGATGCACTGGATTTAAGATGCATGGAAGATTTAAGATTCTATTTTATAGGAAAATCACTGAATATAAAATAAGTCAAAACGATCTCAAAGTACAAGGTAGGAAAGCAAAACTATAACTTTATATTCTACAGTATGGCTGTTGGTGAGAGCACAGATAGAAGCAGTCTAAGTATCTCCCTCCTGATCCAAGAGCATAACTCTGAACCTGCCTTCCATCTCCAGCTGAAAGGCCCAGGTGCAAAGTAAACATTTGATCCTTTGACCCTTGAAGTTGAACAAGCAGAATGTGATCCACCCTTATACTCTACAATATAATTTCTGCGTCACTCTATGCCTTTACAGAGCCAGTATAAGGGGTCACTTGAGGCCCCAGATGGTACTCTCATCTTCTGCATCAGTGTGAGGACAAAATGTTTGATTTGTATGTCAGTTTTATGTTACTTGAATTTTTTAATTTTATGCAACATGCAATGCACACACTAAAGCTTTCTATTAATGTTCTCAGAAAGAAGAATGCTCTTACATGACTTTGCTGATACTTCACATCTTCAGTGTTAATTTTACTCGAATATCACTCCCTAATATTTAAAATAAGATATGCAGAAGGTGTTTATGTCCAGTTCAAGAATATCGTTAATATCTTGCAGCTAAAACCTCCATAAAAGTACAACAGCACCAAGAATTTTGCTCTTAGCTTAGAATAATGGGAACGTAGTTATTTACTTTATTTTATCTTTGCTTCAGCTGAAAGTTGAGATTTCAGCTTCTGGCAAGAAGTTCTGTTTACTTTTCTCATTATTGAATTCTCATTATTGATTCATATCAACTCATATCAACTCAGTTCTAATAAGTTTAATACATTGGTGGGACCTGTGTTAATTCTCTCTTTTCCCACCCTCAGCTGTATAATAAGAATTAAATAGGTGGAATGACAGGAAGAACCTAAAAGGAGGAAAAAGGAGATAGAGAACTAGAGGAGGCCATATGTGTGCCTGTGCATGGAAGAGGGGATGGGGAAAAGATCAGCAAAGAGAAAGAATATCCTACAGTCCCCTTTCCCCATCAATGTTCTTAGTGCTGCCTTGATACAGGCTTTTAGTCACTCAACTCATTCCTCAGAGCTGTAAAGAAATAAACAAATTCCTTTCACAAGATCAGCAATATTTTTTTCTGATTGAACATCATTTGGGGAGACAGACAGAGTGACTGCTCTTATCTGCCTTTCTTTTTTGCTTCATCTCAGTTACAGTTTCTCTAACCATGACTGCAAGCAAAACACATCACGTTGCATTTCCGGAGGGTCTCGTGTCACTGTAATGATGCATGGCATCCTGTTAAGGCCTTCACATTAAACACAGAACTGAAGGCAATCTCTGTTCCTGGGGTGGCTACAAAGACTGAAATAGTGAAGATTACTGAAAGCAATGAATCAAAATGACTACAAGCTGGGTGAGCAGAAGAGACATATGAATAAAATGTGCCAGATCCTCTACTTTGCATGCTCTGTAGCCATTTACACCATTTCAAAATGGGACACAGTCGTTTCTATTCAGGTATAATAACATCTGGACAATCTGGCCTCCTGAACTCTGTTCAAAAGCAGATAGATACTGTTTGCCCAATTAGAGACATTATTATCCTGTTACATGCCAGGAACTTCAGATTCTATAGACCTATTCTGTAGACCTATTTGCTGTATGTGTCTTAAAGTTCCTATAGAGCAAAAGAAATAAAATGTACTGCAAAATGAGCCATTTGACCATATTTCACTCATTATATATTTGGTTTAGATGGAAGTAATATAGTTTTAGATATACTTGTTTCTTTCTCTTGATCATTAAATTATTTAAGAGTTTTTTGCACCAACAGTGTCATGGATATTTGACCACATCTGTTGTCACATTGACAGAATTAGCCAATATTCTTGTTAAAAACAAGTGATTAATCAAATGTCAGCACAAAGCTTAACAGATTCTTCATAAAAATTCCACAGCCTGAAATATCTCATGTAAATTAGTCAGTGAGTACTTTTAAAGAAAAAGCACTTTTACATGAGCTGTATTGATTTATATCTTAATGCAGAGTTGCAGAAGAGCCCTAACATTTACCAGAAGAGTTTGGTAATTTAACCATATCTAGAAATGAGGAATTTATAGGGAAAAAATTCTCTCTTCCTGAAGAAAATAGAGGTCATTATTATTGTCTTTTTTTTTTTTTTAATTCAGTATTCAGGCTAAATATGTTCAGAAGTTTGTATTTTATTCTTTGACAAATAAGAAGTTTTAAGGACACAAAAAAGCCTCAGACATCAGGCATTTAGCAACCTGAAGAATTGTGCCCAGGTTACCATTGATTCTCAGTTTTCTCTGACAAAGTAAAGCCTGTGGCTCTGCATATGTTTGTAGTTATAGAAGTTTGATTGATGTTTCTTAGGCATACCAGATTTGAAAATGGTGGGCAAAACTTATTTCTTTCTTTCGTTTCCTTGAGGCTTTAGAAATGGCAAGAGAAATGGCCAGTTTCCCTATGCTGGTTTGCACCTGAGTCACAGAATGACAGAATTTTTGGCTGGAAAAGTCTCTAAGATTATTTTATTCAGTCATAAACCTAGCTCTGCCAAGTCCACTAAACAAAGTCCCTAAATGCCACGTCTACAAGTAGCAATGCTACACAGGAGCATTTCATTAGTTTAAGGTGGTCCTCTTTCTAATGTTTTTAAGGACCTAAATCTTGAAATTTTGCAAGAGATTTTAAAAAAATCTCAGGACTCATCCATTTTCCTGAAGCTCAGTCACTTTGGGCAGGGCCTGCTGGTGTGTAAAGCAGTCAACTCTGCTTCTGAAGAGAAATTTAAGTTCCTTACTCATTGTATCATCTTCCTAACAGTTGTGACTCAGTAGCAGATCATCATCTTACTGCTTCCTCCTCATCCATGAGCAGAAAAAAGGAACAGTTTTCTACTGACATTTAAAACTCAGACATGCACAGCAGCTTAACAAGTCAGTATTTCTCTCTGACAGCTGTCTTTTCAGCTTCAACATTTAGATTCTGGCTAAAGATTGATTTGTTCTTCCTTTTCAAAATTTCTCAAAAGCCATAATATCTAGGCCCAAGATAATAATCTGGTATAATAGGTGGGTACTGGACAAACATTAGAAAAACTTCTCATTTGTCATGAATCCCTTCTGAAACCAATGTGAATAGTCTGAATTCCTACAGTCCCTTAGGATTCCATGAGGAACAGGGTGTAGCTCAGAGCAGTCATTGACTGCCACACAGTTGTGCTCACAGATTGTTCTCAGGTTGACAGAAGGCAGATTTGTCTTAAGTGTGCTCTGGTGCACCCCAGGTGTTCAGCGGTACAGTGAGCTCTCTCCCACTCCACATCAGTCTTCCCAGGGGGCCATCACCTCCCTGAAGATCATCTTTAGCACAAGAACAGATGAAAGCTGGGGTCTGACTGTGTAGGCAGCTTGTCATCTGTAGGTTATTATACAGTTCTTTACTCCAAAAAGTACAAGCTCCTAGTTCTAGCAAGAAGACTGTAAGCATGAATATATATGTGCTTACTCAGGTGTTCATACCTTTCATGGAGGATGTAACCACCAGGAATACCAATGACAAGAAGCAACAAAGTTAATAAACCACAAGTAATCTTTAAATTTTTCCCCCCTTCCACTGTATTAAGCCTTTGCTGATGTACCCTGGTTACATTTTATTTGTAAAAGTAAGCAGTGTGGACCACCATGATATTTCTCCATCCTTAGCTGTTATATGTATGTGAGAATAGCAAATTTTAGGGAGCTGAGTCATTTTGCTAAGCAAAATTCATTTGGCTAAGCCACACATCACAAAATCACAGCCATTTTTCACCATAAACTGTTTGCCAGGAAAGGTGCTACAGGTAAGAAATAAATCCCTCCTAATCTCCTGGATGGAGAGATAGGCTTTCTGGGAGGTAGCACTTAGGTTACAGTGCAAAACAACTGCCAAGATATCAGCTACCCTTCCTCACTATTTTTGTGGTATATGTAGCCATGCCCACTCTAGCAGAGCTTTATATCCTTGTGTGAGTAAGCACTTAGGTTTAAGAAATCACACAATGCTTATAGAATTAGAATACAAATGCAATCTCAATGAATAGAGCATATTTGCTGTTGTGCTCATGAAGCGGAGGGTACATATTATGCTGCTTCAAAGTAAAATGAAATACAATTTTATCTTCTAAGGGAGATGAAGTGAACATCAGAGCAAGTTAAACAGTACATGCTGCGAGTCTCTACAGAGGAAAAATAGTGTCAAAAACCTTAGCCAGAGGTTAATTGATAATCGGTTTAATTATTCATTTGTTATTAATGATTACTAATGAGAAACATTAGAATAATCAATGTTCCAGCCCAGTGCTTTGCCAGATGTCATGTTAATTGCAACTGAAGATAGCAGTAGCTGAGCAAAATACAGAAACAATTAGCATGATTGACTCAAAGCCACCTCATGCCTCTCTGGAGCATTGTTCTCGCAGCACTACGGAGCAGTATGAAATTCTCTGGGATTGCAGAGTGGGAAAAGAACGCTTTTAATAGCCTTTGTTATAACCCAGATTTCCCTCATAAAAGGTAGAAATTACAGTAAGTCTGACACAAGCAAATATATTTGCTCAGAGAGATCACAATCACAGGCTAATATGAGTGGAAATACAAAATAATCTACAGTGAGTAAAATGTTAACACCAGTAATGGCTAATTGAAATTAAAATCTCCTCTTTCCCCCATGAAAAATTTTTTGAGCTTTAATATTCCCAATGAAATTTCACTTTTAAAGTATGCTTTATGAACTGAAACAACCATAAACTACTAAAGTACCATGTTGTTATTCAAAATATGCAAAATAGCTTCTTAAACTACAGGTATTGTAAAATGCTGAGAAATTAAATTTTATTCTATGCAAAGATTTCATTGCATAGTTGAATCAGGAGCTTTCATCGGGTTTAGATGGATAAACTGCAGTACAGGGTGAAACCAAAGTAGCATCTGTACACAAATAGAATTTCCCATCATATAATAGAGTTTTCTCTGTCTCTCCATGCCCAGTTTGGTCCTCAGCCACAAGTTGAAAACTAGAATGCCTGTCTCCACATCAGGGAGTCCTGGTAGCTCTGCTCTAAGCCCAGACTCGCTTCTATTATTCAGTGGCTCCAGGACACAGGCTTTATGATCAGAGAGTCCAAAGCAGTAGTGCCAACAACAACCAAAGAAGGGATTGGGAATGGCACAGGTAACAGCAGTCCATGGAAATCTGAACAAGGTTCCTGAAAGTTAAACCCTGAGTCAACCTAATGTATGTGTCTGAGCTGCCTATGAGGAATTTTTATCAGCCATGAACAATGGGGCACCAAACAATCTGGTATTCAGATTATAATCTTGAGTGATTGGGATGTATATAATACAAAACTATTATTTAATTGACACTGACGCTGAAAATAGGATGAATCTTTTTGTTTCTAATTGGTTAAAAAAAAGATGGCTAAAAGCACATTGTGTCCAATTGTGTGTACGAACCACAGCTCTTAATCACAAAATTCTATGTGACAATCAAAAATCAGCAGTGATTCTGTCTGCATCATGCAACTAGCATGTGGTGAAGGTGAGAAGTTTCCTCACTGAAAGTTGGCTTGTGCCTGAGGGGTCTAGGCAAGACCCTTGGCAGGATCTCATGGAGCTAAGGTAACATGAGCTGCACTGAAGCTACAAGGAATGAAGGATTTTGATCAAAGGGAAGATTCTGCTACAAACATCCATTTCTGTGATGTCTTGGGCACCTGCTGATGTGAAGCTGGTACCTGCTGCTGAAGTTTAGTCCTTAAGTTATAATATATTATTTATCTAGACAGAGGTAAGGTTTGTCAGTGCCTTATCCATATATCAAACACTGCTGTGTGGCTTTCGGCAGAGGAACTTTGGAAAATGCTACAGTGGTCTGGAAAAACAGGATTCTGACAGGTCTTTCTGTTGTAATTGTGACATGCAGTCAAAAGTCTTGGACTTTAGGGAAAACTGACCTAAAATTCACGAGGCTGAGCTGGAAAAGACATAAGAGAGACAGGAGTTTGCAGGAGTTTCATTATGAACACAAACCCATATTTTGGTTCTTTCTTTTCCTTATATATATATGTAGTTTGTTGTATTATAACTTATATCTGCAATAGCTGGAGATTGCTTTTTATAATCAGTCAGGTTATCTGCAGTATAAGATACACATATATTTTGATTTTAAAATAGCGAAATTGGTGAGTAGAGTCTTCTAATAATGGAGAAGCTGTTCTTCAAGAACTAACAGAAATCCCTTCAGGCATTTCATTCTATTCCAGAGAACATAGAAGCACTCATCTAAGAAATAAATAAAATAAAGCAGAACTTGTTTACCTTTTTGACCCTTTCTTTGGCTTTTCTCCCATGATACATCTTCTGGAATTTTCTGTGCTAGTTCACTTTATGTTGAAAGTTTCATTTTTGCCTCTCTGTGATGTTTCTTGTTGGTTTGTTTGTTTTTTTAATCTGGAAATTTGATTGTGAAAATCTCACTCTCTCCTTTGCTGCATGTAGATTAGAGCATTAAAGTTTTATTGAACATTTGATTTCCCTTTGATAGCAGCAAAAATTTCAGAAATCAGCAAGTATCAGCTACTAGTTAAAGG